TCACCTCGACCTGACCTCTTGATTCAACACCAGAGCCTAATGTTCCTGCTAATGCAGTGATTTGAATTATTCCAACTTCTCCAGTGTCCAATCTTTATGCTTCTTAACAAACCTATGAATGTATCTGTCCAAATATTCCAGTTGCTTTTTTCCACACTTGGTCTTTAGGATTAACAACACAGTCACTGTGGTTGTTTCATAATTAACATTCAATCAAAAACACTCCAAACACGTCAAGTGATTTGAATTAAGGAATCAAAAATATTTCACATGGAAAAAAAAACATTTCTAAGCCTGTAATTCCTATCCATTTACAGCTATGAATTGTGGGTTTTTAGCGCTGCAGCTCCCATTGTTTCGCAGCTGCAGACAGAGACGATGTTTGTGCAGAGAAAACAGTGTTTGATTTAACAGAAGCAGAAACAGATGAAGTTCTGTAGAAACAAACTGACAAGTTCAAACTCCCCAGGGAGAGATCCAGATTCCTCCTCTCTCTCACTCTCTCTCTCACTCACTCTCTCACTCTCTCGTTGTGGCTCTGCAGAGAGTGGAGCTAAGGCTCGCTCACCCCTCCTTGATGACTCCCTGTGGATTAATAACCAGCAGTGAGATGTGAAGGAGTAAAAGCCTCAATTAGAAAAAACAGATGCCACTTTGAATTGAAGATAATTCAGCCGTTATTATATTGCACCATCGATAAACCCAGAAAAAAGCCTCTAATGGTGGATAATTGCAGTCAGTGATGAAGGTCTTCTGTGTGTTTTTGTCCACAGAGTAAGTGCTGGAGAGCTTTACTTCAATCCAAACACTTTCATGGGGGTTGGGAGGGGCATTCAAGAAAAAAAAAAGACACAAACCCTTTCAAACCATTATGGTTTGAAAGGAGCAGCGCTGCTGCAGTTATGAAATATGGGTGGATGAATCTAAGGTGAAAGGGCTGCGTTGGAGAAAAAAACGCAATGAAAAAGCTTTTTGAGGTAAGGCCAAAAGTCTGATTTAATTCGGTGCAGTGGCATGTTATTACAGATTTGATTAAAGTCTGAGTTTGGAATGTTTAAAAGACGATAAACGCTTTGGATAACATCATCATAATGGACTAATAACATCAAACCAGAGGAAGGGGGTGGGAGGAGGGGGAGACTGGGAGGAGGGGGACATAACAACAGAAAAACCTCCTTTCATAAATAAAGATGGTTTATAAGCTGAGGTTCACGGTGGTGCCACCACCACAGGCTCAGTTTTTTGTTTGTTCCTGTGACCTACAGGTTCAACTCCTGACATGAATGACTAGGTCGACTCCTGGTCAATGACCCTTGACCCCATCAGTGTCATGACCTGACTCAAATATTCTTATGTGAAGTTCCCTCCAAACTGAGGTTTGTCTAACACAGACAAGTCAGTCATTTTACTGCCTCCATGTCAAGGTAAAAAAAGAAGAAGAAAAAAAAGGTTTTTTGAGGTCAGTGTGACCTTGACTTAAAAATCCACTCTGCTGATCTGCTGCAGACAAACTTCTACACAAACTTGTAATAATTTCTCTGAGATGTTTTGGCCCTTGGGCCCAGATAACACTGAAGCTGGAGACTTGAGGATGAGTCTGATGTGAAAATCCTGGCTGTTTTATCGTCAGCTTTCATCTAAAGCTGCAGCGACCTGCAGGTCAGCAGATAAGACCTGGAGGTCAGAGGGTTAACCTGAGGCCAGGGGATTAACCTGGAGGAAAACCTCGGACAGAATCCTGTGCTTTCAACAACATGAAAAATCAAAATTAAATCAAAATGATGAAGGCAACACTGCTGCTGCAACCAGAGTCACTGCTGCTGCAACAACAGTCACTGCTGCTGCAACAACAGTCACTGCTGCTGCAACCAGAGTCACTGCTGCTGCAACAACAGTCACTGCTGCTGCAACAACAGTCGCTGCTGCTGCCACAACAGGCACTGCTGGTGCCACAACAGGTGCTACGCTGCAACCAGAGTCACTGCTGCTGCAACCAGAGTCACTGCTGCTGCAACAACAGTCGCTGCTGCTGCAACTTGTGATGTTACAAAAATCTCAATAAAGACAATGATAGAAAATAAATAAATAAAACTCATGACTCTTGTAATAAAAAAAATCCGATATTTAAGTTTTTTTCTTTTTTGTATTGACCTTTGTTCTACGAAAGCAACATGAAGATCTGAATGTAAATGAAAACCGATGTTGTCGCTGCAACACTTTTGTGTGAGTTTGTGTGGAGGCTGAAAATCCATTTGTGTAAAAATGACAAGACTGTGACATGAACAGAAGTAAAAAAGAGTTTTACTGTGAAAACCCTTCACAGAGGTTCAATAAAAATTGAAACCTGAGCAACGTTTTAAATCTCAGCCCCATCACCTACAGACTCACATGTACGTATGAGTGTGTGTGAGCTGTCAGCACACTCTCTGAGGACTGAGAATCATGGGAGCTCTCTGAAAGGTCAGGGCGAGCAAGAAGCAGCTGGAGCGTAATTGACACAGGCGTGTGCACCTTTGCGCATGCACACACACACACACACACACAGGTGTGCAGACAGAGTGGGTGGTTGTCATCTAACCAAGCGTGCACTGAGACATGAACAGATCCTTCTCCCTCCTCTCTCACCTCACAGTTTTTTTTCTTCCAGTGATTTATTTATTAAATCTGATTTTTTTTTTTTTTTTGACTCCCAGTCTGAGCTGCTGCGACATCACTCACAGGAATTCACTCTACAGATTCTACAGGTTTGACACACACTCTGCTCTGTTAGACGGAAATCCACCAGCCAGTTTATAAAAACGTCATTCATGTCTTTAGCTCCGCCTCCATCATCATCCCCTCTCTATCTTCTCCACCTGTCCATATCCGTGTCTCAAACATGACTCCAAGAGTCAGCGGTGAAATAATGGCTCAGCGGAGCGGGAACAGGACACCTGTGTTGATGTCCTCAAACCCTCATTTACTTTCACCAAACGAAAACTAAAGCATTAACCTTCAGGGAGCAGCGGCGGCTCCGCCACTCCAGCACTCAGCAAATGTCATAGATTTAATGGAGGTGGCGATGGCTGCAGCCCTCGTCTAGAAAATACATTTATCAGCAGATGTAGCAGGAATCAGGAGGAGATCACCAGTGTGGGCACAGATCAAATTAAAAGTCAAAACAAGAATGAGAGAGTAGAGTAGAAGAAACAACTATTGAACAGACTGATAGAATATGGACTGGCATTTAAATCAAGAGGAAAAACAATAGTTAATAGGTCAAGTCCTCAGAACTGTGTCTCTGAGACAGCAATGACAAAGTCAGACAGTTGATCAGAATGCTCCTCCTGTGAGGTCACAGGTCAGACAGTACTGCAGTGCCATTAGAAAAACAGAACCTTCCAGATGCACTGTGTGACCAATAAGGAACACTGTAATATTTGTATGCTAACAGCAAACTGACTCTCATTCTTTGTTTAGGGCGCCCTCTGCAGGATTACAGAGAACCTCTTTTAATCTGGGTTCACCTTAAACTCTTCCCTCTAAGTCAACTTTATACTTAAACTTCTAAATGAAACTGACAGGTGTAGTTGGCTGCAGCCCATGAAACGACACACAGCGTCTGTAACAGTTGGGAAACAACAGCAGGGACACAAGGTGAAGTGGGGGTTTACAGCATGTTAGCAC